ACCTCGATGTCGACTCATCATATCCTGGAGGTGAAGAAGCTTCCAAGGGTTGGGCTGTTCGCCCATTAAAATGGTACGTGAGTTGGGTTTAGAACGTCGTGAGACAGTTTGGATCCTATCTTCTATAGATATTTTGAAAAATGAAAGACTCTAATTCTAGTACGAGAGGACCGAAGAGGATAAATCTCTGGTGTATCGGTTGTTCTATATGGGCAGCGCCGAGTAGCTAAATTTATATTGGATAATTGCTGAAAGCATCTAAGCAAGAAACCGTTCTTAAAATTTATTCATACTAATTATTTTTAAAAAATATATTTATTAAAATATATTTTAATAAATATAACGATTTTAATTATATTTTTAAATTAATAATAATGTCGATAATTTATTCCCTTTTTGGAAATACCAAGTTTAAATTTGGGTCCATTATTAAAATTAATTTATTTTTTTTTAAATAATAAATATTTGTTTTTTTTTTTATTCGAAAAATTAGAAAAATCATCTTCTTTGTCTAATAAATTTACGGTAGTATTAAATTTAATATTATAACGTAATTTTTGAATTTCAATATAAGTATCATCACGCTTAACAATACTTTTACTTTTATTATTAAAAGTACCTAAAATTTCATTAAGAATATTTTTCAAAAAATTTGTTTTTCTTTTACGAGAAAAAGATAATAACCAATTAACAGCATCTTTTATTTGTTTTTCTTTATTTAAAAACATTAAAAAATATTTGTTTTTTCTTTTTCTTGTTCTTCTTTTACTTACAGGTACGTTTATTAATTTTAATTTAGGAGCTAAAATATCAATTGTTTTTATTAATATAAATAAAGGTTTTTGTTTTGTTTTTTTTCTTAACTCAATTAAAATGTTATTATAAAGATTTTCAGCAATACTTTTTTTTCCTTTTTTTAATAACATTTTTATAAATGAATTTCTTATAAGATTATTTTGGTCGTTTAGTTCCATATTTAGATCTTGAAGTTTTTCTGGTTAAAACACCTGTTAAATCATATTTACCTCGAATAATATGATATTTTACACCCGGCAAATCTTGAACTCTACCACCTCTAATTAAAACTACTGAATGTTCTTGTAAAGAGTGTCCTATACCTGGAATATAACATATAACTGAATGCTCATTAGTTAGTTTAACTTTAGCAACTTTTCTTAATGCTGAATTCGGCTTTTTAGGTGTTTTTATATATACTTTAGTACATACTCCTTTTTTTTGAGGACATTTTTGAAGTGCTGGACTTTTATTTATTTTTTTTTTTTTTAAACGTTTTTTTT